CAATAAATTATGCTGACAATTATTATACAAGTATTACTAAAAGAAAATACTCCTACACATCAACCAAGCCTAGAAAATAATAATATTTATAATAACAGTGACCCACCAGTTATGACACCAAACATATCTTCCACCTCAACCTATTATCGGAAACTATAATATAAAAACAAACTTTAATAACAATCTAAAATGTATTAAAAGTATTGAAAGGTAAATTTGTTGGGAAAACAAAAACGATTTATTGTAAAAATAATAAAAGGTAACTCACTAAAACAAAAATGAACAAAACAGATTGGAAGAAATGATAACGCTTCTTATGAGGAAAATAGGTACAATGTTAAATCTATTAACAGCCCTGATCACTAAAATGAAATAATGGCACATATATCAAAATACGTTTATATTAAATATTTATTATATTAAATATGTAATATTTATTATATTAAATATGTAATATATATTAAATATGTAAATATTAAAAATAGGAACCTGAAATGCGGACTTATTCAAAGAAGCAATGAACTTAAATATTTTTTATCCGAGCATAACATAAACGTAATGCTTATTTCAGAAGCGAACATTACACGAAAAAAAGCTACCTAAAAATCCCAAATTATACAATCTACGATACCCAACATCCGAACGGCACAGCACATGGTGGTACCGCTCTAATTATTAAAATAGTTATTAAGCATCATGAAACCGAAAAGTGTTCTCAAAACTATCTATAACTAACAAATATCGCTATAGAAGACTGGATAGGACCTATTACTCTTTCAGCCATATATAGCCCGCCAAAGCATGCAAACAAGAACATTACATTAATTATTTCAAAACTCTTAATCATAAGTTCATCGCTGGTGGCGATGAACTATAATGCGAAACACCCGTGGTGGTGATTTAGATCTTAAGTAATTCAAAAGAAAAACAATTATATTTAGCAATGTTGCAAAATAATCTACACCCAATATCTACAGGCAAACCCATTTATTGGCCTGCTGATTGTATAATAGAAAAATACCAGACGTTATAGATTTTTGTATTGTGAAGAGGATAGGCAACGCACTACTTCAAAGCAGAATCATGTTATGACATCGGATCATTCCCTAATAATACAGTTAATACAACTGTAGTAAATATATAGTAACCTCTAACTCTGTCCAATGCAAAAACAAATTGGCGTCTATTCAGAGATTTTTTTAAACGAACAAATAACATGTAAGATATCACTGAAAACTAACGAAGAATTAGAGATGGCAATAGACAGTCTCAATATTAAAATACCAAAAGTGACCTGAGAATCAACTCCTACAGCGTATAATGTTAGAAACTCAACGCATTGTCTATTAAATATTAAATTTAAAATTGCAAAGAAAAAAAACTTCGCAAAAAATGGCAAAGATCACCGAATGATAAAGCGAATTTAAATAAAACCGAAAAACAATTTAAAAAATTAATAAATGGCGAACGAAATAAAATGATCAAAAAGTTTTTCTTAGAGCTCACTCCTACAGAAGCAACAGACTACTCACTATGGAAAAATCACAAAGAAGAATTCTAATCAACTAATACCTTCGATAAAACAAGAAGACGGAAAATGAGCAAGAACCACTAAAGATAAAATTAAATTATTTTTCGAACACCTTAAAAAAATATTAGGAGTATAAATAAGTTTCCGCCGTTTTTTTATCAAAAATTGGGCATTTATTGTGAAAGAACGGTACATAATGTTTTATTCGAAGTATTGTCCTTCCCAATTGAGTGTTTCCAAATAGGTTTTGACCGGCGCCGCAACATGTGGACGAGCATTATCATGCAGAAGAATAACTTTGTCGTGTCTGGAGTAGTAGTGGGCGCGTTTTTCCTTGAGTACTCGGCTCAATCTCATCAATTGTGTTCGGTAGAGAGCCCCAGTAATGGTTTCGTTCGGTTTGAGCAACTCATAATATACGACACCAAGCTGATCCCACCAAATACACAACATGAGCTTTTTTCCATGAATGTTCGGCTTGGCTGTTGATGTTGAAGCATGGCCAAGTGGTCCCCATGATTTTTTCTTCTTTGGGTTATCGTAGTGAATCCATTTTTCATCACCAGTGACTATACAATGCAAAAAACTCTTTCGTTTGTGCCTGGCAAGCAGCATTTCACATGTGAAAAATCGGCGTTCAACGTTTCTCGGCGTCAGTTCATATGGAACCCAATTTTCTTGCTTTTGAATCATTCCTAATGATTTTAAGCGATGTGAAATTGCTGGTTGAGTCACTCCTAATGTAAGTGCAAGTGCTTCTTGCGTTTGGCACGAATCTTCCAATAATGATTCCAATTCCGCGTCTTCGTACACTTTCGGCCTTCCGCTACGTTCTTTGTCTTCGACGTCAATTCACCGTTCTTAAACTTTTGAAACCACTCACGACAACTTTTTTCACTTAAGGCAGCCTCACCATATGCTTCTACAAGCAATCGATGCGCCTCAGCTGCAGATTTCTTCAAATTAAAGAAGTAAATCAAAAGCTCCCGCAAATGACGTTTATTCGGCTCAAAACTCGACATTTTCGCACGAAAAAAGATATATGATGCTGATACAAAATCGCTAATATTTCAAGGTTATGTTGTTACCAGATGTCCAATCTTACGATATGACGTTTTACAGCAGACAATTTTAACCATAACATACTGGTGGCACCATCTTTTGTCAAACGGCGGAAACTTATTTATATTCCTAATATATACCTGCAAGAAAGATCAGAAGAAAAACAAAGGATAATATTAAACTACTCGAATCACCGCTGCAAATGAACTCTCCTATCCAAAAAATAAAAATAGACGAAGTGCAAAAAATAATACGAAATTTGAAAGATGATAAAGCGCCAGGGTATGATCTGATTATAGGCAAAGTGTTAAAGGAACTTCCATAGAAAGCAGTAAGATTGATAATTAATTATAGATTGCTATAATGCTATTATAAGATTAAAATACTTTCCGGCTCTATGGAAAATAGTTCAGATTATACTAATATCAAAACCGGAAAAAAACCAGAAGAATTATCTATATAGACAATAAGTCTACTTCCTGTGCTGTCAAAGATCTTTGAAAAGCTCATGTTAAACAGAATCAACCTGTACTAGTAAGTAACAAAATTATTCCAGGCATCAATTCATTTTTAGAGAGCAACACGCAACAATCGAATAAGTGCACAGAATCGTAAGAATAATTAATAACGCTCTGGAGGATAGAGAACATTGCTTAGCGATCCTAGATATTACTCAAGCATTTGACAAAGTATAGCACCCAGAGTTATTTACAAAATATATAAAAAAAAACAGTTATTGCATAATTACTATCTTTTACTTAAATCATATCTAGCAGACATATTTTATAATAAAACGGAAGTCCCACAAGGCAGTATCCTTGGACCTCTGTTGTATCTAATATTCATCGCCTATCAACAACGGAACAAACTCTGACGAGAATATTCGCGGACAACACAATCATCATAGCATCATAGAAATCCGGAAGAAGTATCAAGGATTTTCCAAGGAAATATTTCTAAAATACAAGTCTGACCTAAAACTTGAAGAATAAAGGCTAATAAAAATAAATCTGTGTATGTTATATTTACACTGAATAAAGACTCATGCTCACTAATAAAACTAAACAACATTACAATAAAATACTTCAAGCAGATTCAGAGTTAGACCGACGATTAACTTGGAAAATGCATATATGGCATAAAAAGAAGCAAGGGAATTAGACTTACAATTAGAAATATATACTAGTTACTTGCTCGAAACCAAAAAATGTCACTGTACAGCAAAGTACTGCTCTATAAATTATTATACTAATTTGGACATACGGTATTTAATTATAGGGCTTTGCTTCTAGTTTAAATATAGAAATTCTAGAAAGGTTTCAACCAAAAATTCTGAGAACAATAGTAGACGCGTCGTTCGTATCTAACGAAATTATCAGACGAGATCTGAATATTGAAACAATTAAAAAAGTAATAACAAACTATGTCTCGAATTACGCTGATAGACTGCAGACGCACATCCTAATCAATTTGCGAATAAACTTTTGACTGAAACTGAGGATAAACGACGATTTAAGCGGTTCAAGCCATTAGACTCAATAAATCGATACAACTAATGTAATTAGATAATTAGATAACAAAAAATCTTTAGAATTAAAATGATTGCATAATTAAAGGGATGTACTCCACTGGGATTATTTCTATATGCTATTTAAAATTATAAAATTTACTAGTCACAACCTGACAGATTGTAAATATGTTTGGAATTAAAAAATAAAATTCATATTTAAGCATCTGATGTCATGATGATACATCTTATGATATCATTATAACCTAATTATGACTTTGTGTCAGTGTTGCAAGATTCGTGGAACAAATTTCACGGCGGGACCTGTCTGCGAACACTACGTCATAGATCACGTGATTGGTTTAGGCACACTCATATTCAGATTCAATGGAACGCTCCTTGTCCGAATGCATTTTATTATGGCGCTAGCGCGCATGCGTGAGTTCGTTCCGCGAAATCTTGCTCTGTTTTACCTGATACTCTGATTCAAAACATATATGGCAATTCTCGAGTCTCTGCGTTACCATTTTGAATTACTCTCCCTATTCCCCGATCTTGCTCCAGCAGACTTTTTATTTCCTAAGCTAAAGAAGGTGATGAAAGGAATTCGATTTAAAAACATTTCGAACATTTAGAATCGTGTGACAATAAGATTTGTTACAATATATAATAATATATTTATAAGCTGTACGAACATTATAGAAGTGTATTGCCTCTAGCGGGGATTACTTTGAAGGATAATAAAGGTCATTCATATATTAATTAAATGGTGTTTATTTTCTCATGTCACCGAATTTTGCCACACCACATATGTCTTAAAATTTCGAGTTGTATATATTGTATCATATAATCTTTGCTATAATAAGAATATTATAAGAATATTTTATCATTATGTTGTAGAGCCAATATTTGGCAAGGCAATTTTCCTACAGAGAATACTGAAGAAGACGGATACAAAGGCACATCACCAGTTACAATGTTTTCGCAGAATAGGTATGGTTTGCATAATATTATTGGAAATGTTTGGGAATGGACAGCGGATTGGTGGATAACAAAGCACTCAAGTAATCGATTAATAAATCCAGTAAGCATTTATTCATTTAACTTTTTTATTTAAATGAAAATGTAATAAAGTATGTATTTTATATATTTTATATATATAGTATATATAATGTATATAAAATATAAATAAGGGGCAAGTAAAAAATCCCATACTGGTGAAATATCTCGAAAACTAAGCACTTTCGAAAGAAATGTTTTCTATAAAAGTTGTAGGATTTTAAATGATCTATTTACTGATCTGGTCAATGTTGTTCAAGACCATGTTTTGTAGAAAACATTTCTTTCGGAAGTGCTTAGTTTTTAAGATATTTCATTGATCCTGAAATTTTTACTCACCCTGTATATACCGGATGTTCAAAATAAAGCGTTACAAATTTCTATCTCGGAAATACGGCATTATTGAGAATTGTTCAGTAACTCTACAAAAGTTGTAGAGTTCAAAAAAGTCTATTTACCGATCTTATCAATTTGACTTTAGGTGGTGTCACCGAAGTCAGATCAAAATCATATTGATTTTTTTAAATGGAACATCATACTTTTGCTCTAGAATCTAATAGCTGAAGTCGAGAGATTTCCCAAACGCTATAAGAAGATATTCTTTATTAAGTAAATACTTCTCGAGTTATGATGCTCGAAAGTTACAGTACCTCTGGCATTACCCAAGGTGTCCGATGGCTAAACCTCTTGAATGTTGTTCAGAATAATGTCCTGGATAACATTTGTCAAGATAAAAGCTATTGGAGGTTGTATCTTTTTTCTTCATTTTTATATAAAAATGAATTTTTAGTGCAAAAATAAAAATAAGAGAAATAATTTCCAATAACCTTTATGTTGACAAATGTTATCCAGGATATGATACTGAACAACATTCAGGAGATTTTAGCCGACGGTCGGATACTTTGGCTGATGCCAATGATATTGTAACTTTTAACATCACACTTAAGCATCATAACTCAAAAAATACTCAATAAGAAATAACTTTATTATAGTGTTTTGGAAAGCTCTCGACATCAGCTATTAGATTCTGAAATCAAAAGTAAGGAATTTCGTTTTAAAAAATCGATGTTACCTTGACGTGACCTTGGCGACGTCATCTAAAGTCAAACTGATAAGATCAGCAAATAGATCTTTTTGAACTCTACAACTTTTGTTAGAACAATTTTTCAATAATGTTCAATATTTCCAAGATAAAAACTTGTAACGCTTTATTTTTAATACTTGGTATATATTATATATTATAATGAAACGGTTCTTGTCGAATTTTTAGATTGGTCCTTCTAATGGTAGCGATAAAGTGAAGAAAGGTGGTTCATACCTATGTCACAAAACATATTGCTACAGATACAGATGTGCCGCGCGTAGTCAAAACACACCTGATACATCAGCTGGAAATTTAGGTTTTAGATGTGCTGTATCAGCATAGGTGAAGTATTAAAGAGATTAAAACTTCGAACTTCTGGATATCAAGATTAAATATGAATAAAAAAATTACATTTTACGTTTAAAATTTGTCTCAGAAATTTGTGCCTACATAAAATTATAATATGTTACGTTTAATAAAACTTTTTTAAATAAAATAAAAGATTGATATTTTGGAAAAAAAAATTAATTAAATATGAGAAAAATACCGATTTTCAGTTAAAGTGGATCTTAGAGCTTAAGGTATTTCTTCTAGAAATTGAGTTTCTACAGATTTTTTGAAATTTGGATATTAAAATAATTTTAACTATATATAATTAAAATTTAAATAACCCTAGCGCTACTGAAATGAAGATATTCACTTTCAAAGTTTCAGCTTTTAACGCATAAACTTCTATACCAAGCCTTGCCGAAGTAACGTTTTAATATTTTGCGACAAAAATATTTTACTTGAAAAATCTTTTGCTCTTTATTATTAACAACGAAGCCGCCAGTTATCTTGCAACGATCGACGCTACATTCGCCATTGTTGGGAGGCTCGGATCATTCAATGACGCGTGACAATCAGCTTGCGCGCACATCAAATGATTTATAGGTAGGAAATTATTTAGTGATAATCGTGTAAACTATCAGAGTAAGTTTTATACGCGATTCGATGCTCTAATTTCAAAATATCTAACGAAGACGCGTCAATGATTCTCAAAAGGCAACGTGCAACGCTTAAAAGCTCGTGCGTGCGAATTCGCACATATATCGAATCAATAATCATACTCACTCCCGCAATAGCAGCTCGGCTTCAAGAACGTAAAGTCAAGCTAGATACCTATTGGTCTGAATACAATCACGTCTCGAATTAATCGAAGAGATCGAGATTAACGACCGTGTTAGTTTCGAAAACACGTTTTACACATTATCCGCTAGAATTCGCGAGCTATTAAGCCCGGCACTTCCGGTCCCGCGCGAGGCGGCAACGTCGACCTCGACATCTAGCGCTCGCAAATCCTTGGATAGCGTTATGCATGTACGATTGCCGAAGCTCAACCTCCCGACATTCTCTGGTAGCTACGATCAGTGATTCCCATTCTACAATAACTTCACGGCGGTAATACACACGAATGTGTCGCTTAATAACGTTCAAAAGAAAAAAAACAAAAATATAATGTACGGACAGTTAATGTATGACAGTTTTACACAACGCGGGAATTGTTGTGCAATTTACATAATAGTCATAAATTCTTTCACATAATATTAGAAACAATGACTTTTCAATACAGACTTAATTCGTACGTTTCGGTTTAAAAATCAAACTATCTTCAGCAAATTCGTACAACATAATATATGTGTCGGAAGCAGAACCGTTGGAATATCGTTGGAATATCGAAGTTATGCTCTATATAAAACCGAGGATGAGTATCTCTCAATTGTTTAAGGAGTAGCCTATTTTCTGCTTCTCCGTTGTTTAACCAAGTAACTAACTACAGAGTAAAATATAGATATAATAATTTTTACCATTATGAGTTCAATGTTTGCTTATCTTACTCACTCTCATTTCTTATAGATCATAATTCGATCGCTCAAAACGCAAGTCAAATTATAAAAAATACGATTAACGAAACACATTTGTTCTTAATTAGAGTAAAATAATAAATTTATAAAATAAACAATATATAATAATCATCGAATGTGTTACATGTGTTATCGAGATAGAAGTCAGAGGAGCAAAATCCGTCAAAATCAAAAATATAATTTAAGCGCCACGTTCGTGGAAATATACAAAACATACGCGTCATACCACTATAATAAAAACAAACTTTAAGGTGAGTACATAATGTCATTGTTCGAATTTCTTTAAAATGCTTATAAAAATGGTGCAGAAACTCCGTCTGATTGCAAATTCAAATCATTTGATTGCAATCGAATATACAGCATTTCCAAAATGAGCCTTCTACTCAATTGTCTTTCTCTATCTAAGATTTTTACATTCTCCCATTCAAATTCATGGCTGTGTTCCAATCTATGCTGTGTGATCACAGTTTCACAAGAAATTTTTTGTTATTTCTGTGTTCTTTAATTCTTGTTTTTAATAAACATCCTGTTTGTCCAACATAGGTTATCACAATCTCGATATTCTACAATATTTTGTAGATAACATTTTTGTTGGAACTTGAAGGGAGTCTTTCTTTATGGCTTTATCTTTTTATAATTCCATCTAATTTGTTGATGCTATGGTAACAAAGATTCGCCTCCATGTCCCTCGCTATGTTTTTGTATTTATCAAAAATTGCAGGGAACCATGAACCTACTGTTCCTCGCATTTTCATCTTTCATATCACTGTTTCGATGTGTCTTGATGAATAAAAGATTTAATTCTAGAATTAATGACGCTAAAAATGAATTCAATAAGATAATCATTTTTCATAAAACTATAATTCTATGTTTTTTGTGTGATACTTAGGATGCGACAACAAAAGAGCCCTATCTAACATCCCGATAATAACTCCCTTCTTTTGTGTTATCGAATGGAGAGAGTGAAAATTCATGAACTTACTGGAAAATGACGGTTTGTGAAACCAATCAAATTCTATTGCATTTTTGTTCATGATTAGTGTTATATTAAGGAAATTCCACCGGAATGTTGGTGAACAAAGATACGTCTAATAATATCAAAGCAAGTCTATCGTCTATAAATTTACCATTTCACTTTTTTACTAACATAAAACTATTATCAATATGGCTCTGCCGTTTGAAGACATATTGACCAATTATATCCTGTACGAATGCCGTTAAAGAGTATAGAGGGCTGTCTACGTATGAGACGATAATTCTATACTGTGAACCTATTTTGTGAATTTTAGGGAATGCATAGGCTCTCGGCAAATTTCCATCACTGCAATGAAGTGTTTTGTTATCAATATCCTTTATTTTCACACTTTTTAAAATAAAATCTGTGTCTTTCTTACTAGACTCGATGTTAGATTTCTATTCACCGGTATGTAAGTATCTGTCTTTTAATATGTTGTTGACACTGTTTATATAATCTTCTTTATTAAGGACTACAGTGATATTACCTTTATCCGTTCTGGTAAATATAATGTTCGGATTGTTTGTGACAAAAGGAAACTCTAAGCAGTTTTTCTTAGTGTCACTTGACGGCAGAGCAAAATTGTTACCTAATTGTAAGAGGCATTGAACATCTGTTGGAATTGAAGCGCTCGTACGATTTATGAATCAATTGTTTTTAACACGCTTTAACGAGGACTGGATGATATCTGTTGCAAAGTTAGATGGATGAATTAAGATTTCAACAGATTCATCGTTGCTCTGTGTTGAGTTAGCACAAGAAAATTTATAGTGGAAAACCATGTCAAAGCTCTCGTGGACATGCCTCGTATAACGAAAAAAATCGCTAAGAAATTGAGGAAATCCGCGGACGATGCGTCAAAACATTTACCTGTCCTTCAGACACTGAAATGTCCGTGCATTGGAACGACTTGCTCGTTTACATATTCAAATCGAAGCTTGACAAGATCACGTTACAGGAGTGGCAAGCATCTCTCTCGGGTAAAAACATCCCACATTAAAGCATATTTTTTTATTTCATCACACACTAGTGTCAAACTCTCGAAGTTACCAATAATTTGTCAATAGTGACGCCAAGCAACAATCTAATGGCAAACGTCAGTCTTCTCACGTCGCAACTGTCAAATCCAATTGCCATTAGTGTAAAGACGAATATTCTATTTATCACTGCAAAGATTTTTTAGCACTTTCGCACGCAGAATATCCAAGATTCGTAAGATGACTGACTCATGAGTTAACTGCTTGCGGTCCACATCACACGTAGCTGCTAAATGCACATCAGGACACTGTAAAATGTGTCACATGAAACACAATACATTACTTCATCTAGCTCCCTCATCCGTACCCACGGATGAAAACGTAAACAAATCGAAAACAGTTATTGCATCCTTGATCGCTGCACAATGCTCTGATACTATCGCGAGTAACAACATCCTGCTGGCGACAGCATTAATTTGCCAGACAGGGAGAGTATTCTTATGCCATGTCGAGCATTACTTGATTGTGGTTTGCAAGCAAATTTTATCTCATCAGGTTTCTATCAACACTCAAGATAAGTTCGCGAGAGTTGAACATGTCTATCCGGCATAAATGGCACTGCCACAACGTCCACTCAAGCAGCTCAAATTAAGCTACAGTCACGATTGAATTCTTATAACATCAGCCTTGATTGCACAGTTACAGCTAGCGTAACGGAAGAGCTTCTAGCTCAAACATATTTAATTTCTCACGCAACATCAAGTTAGTTGATCCGCAATTTCACATGTCGTCTGAAATTGATCTTCTGATAGGCGCGGAAATATTCTGGGAGTTGTGCATAGGACTGAGCAACGCATTCACTACACACGGCCCTCATTGAATTCGCTTCATAGTAAGCGGAAATTCAGGAGATTCGTGGATGGACCGTAGCTCTTTGTCTTGTTCTTGTTGCTCTGCGAGCTCATTTAGTTCAATCTCGGCAGGTAAACGGATAGCTTCGATGCGGGAAAGGGAATTCGCCACGATGTTATCATTGCCCAATAAATATTCGATATGCGTGGTGAACTGCGAGATGAACGATAGTTGTCTCTGTTGCCGGAGTGATGCCTTTTCCAAACGTTGCATGAACGCATAGATGAGAAGTTTGTGATCGGTCGCAATCTTGAAATTTCGCCCTTCGAGGAAATAACGAAAGTATTTAACTGCCTCGGCGATCGCCGTAAGCTCCCGATCGTACGCGCTGGAGTTCTGTTGCGCCGAACTTAATTTGCGCGAAAAGAAAGCGAGAGGATTCCACGAGTCGTCCAGACGTTGTTCGAGGGCGGCCCCGATGACGAAATCTGACGCGTCACAAACGAAGCGCATCTTAGCTGCGTCGAAGGGGTGAGAGAGTACAGTCGCGTTGGCTAGACTCTCCTTGCACTTATTAAACGCTTCCTCAGCCGCCGGCGTCCATATAATTGGCCGTTTGTCGTTTTTGCGTGAATCGCGAAGATACTCATTTGGTGCCTGAACGGTAGTTGCATTATACAGTAGTTTACGATAAAAGTTGACAAGCCTAAGAAAACGACGAATTCAATTATGGTGTTAGGCCTTGGAAACTCGCGAATAGCCTGAACTGTATCGAGTGTTGGTTTACAACCTTCGCTGTTAATCATAAAGCTGAGGAATTCTAATTCTTGCTTGCTGAACTCGCATTTCTCTACATTGAGTCATAAATAAAACTTTTTTAATCGTTGTAATACTGTGCGTAAGTGAGCTTCGTGCTCTTCAAGAGACGTTATGAGAATGTCGTCGATGCAAACACAAATTCCAGTCGCCTAGGCATCTGCCAAAAAACGCATTTGGGATGGATTATCGCGGGGCGTCTCTCTCAATTTGCATCTAAGGTGTTATCGTGTCATGCAGCCGTATCTAATGCGCATCTGTATTCCGAATTGGTTAAGTTTTGGCGCTTAGATGGCATAGTGAACCAGGATAACAGTTATACTATCGAGGAAAATGCCTGCGAACGGGATTTTCTCGATGGCGTTCGGC